TTTTTTTTTTTTTTGTAATTCTTTTTGGCATGGTTTGTGAGATTTATGGTTCTAAGTGTTGTGCCTGGTGATGGGTTTTGTAGCAAATGAATCATCGAGATTTCAGTCGCCTGAGGGCACTGATGGCGATTTGCGCTCCTGTGATGATGCCTCTGATGAAGTTCTTGGAGAGATTGCCTCAACGAGTGGAGATTATGCTAATTGCCTCAGAACCGTAGGCTTATGTGTATGTATCTACTGACCGTTTGTTTTTCTTTTGTGGATTTTTGTGATTTTCTATTTGTATAATCCTGAGCTGAGAAGCCAATTTCGTGTAATTGTATCTTTGTTCTATAGGTGTTCTCAGCTGTGGCATTTGGTGTGGGTTTGGGTTTGAAAGATGGGATTGGCAAGGCATCCGAGTTTTTTGCCGGGTTTGTGCAATAACCTTCGATTAGTGATTCTATACTTGAATTAGTCTGCTCGTAATCATTTAGAATATGGGAATTCGTTATATAACTTTATGCTCGGCTTTGTTCTGTGTTAGAGCATCTTTCTTGATTGTTCTTATTTGTCATATTTTCAGGTACCTATTGGAGCAGAGTTTATCCGTGGACAATCTGTTTGTATTTGTCTTAATATTCAAGTACTTCAAAGTGCCACTCAGTTATCAGGTCCACCATAACTTCATGTGGGTTATGTAACATAATAACATTCCTATGCTGACCCGTGCTTTATTTTGTTTCTTTTGATGGCAATATGAATGTTGATGGGAATTTAGAATCGGGTGCTTTCTTATGGTATTGCTGGTGCAGTAGTCTTTCGGTTATCGTTAATACTTCTTGGAACAGCAACACTTCAGGTCAATTTTGAATTTTCGCCTTTCATGCTCTTGTTTGCCAGTCGAGCTTTACTAATTACTATCTGTTGTTATCCTCTAAACTATTGTTGTATATTTTCTCGCTCATCTTACTGTTAGAGATTTGAGGCGGTTAACCTATTGCTGGCGACAGTTCTACTATACTCATCGTTCAAGGTTTTTTATTCTCTCTGAGCACTCGAACTGCTAATTGCCGTTACTATATTCTGTTGCTTCTCTTATTTTAAAATGAAGTTTTTACATTTAGAGAATGCAATAGAGTCTAGTGATATACCTCTTTGATCCCTATTTTGTTAGCATTATGTTTCTGTTTTTATTGGCTTTATGTGCCTTAACTGTTGTTTTATTTTGTTAGTTATTTTCTGCAGATGATGAAGATAGTGATCTCTCGGATAATTTCATTGTAAAGACATGTCAGAAGTTCATCCCTGTAACTTGTAAGGTCTTTCTCTGTCTCCCAAGTCCACTTTAGTGCTAAGAATTCAGGGTATTATCTTCAACCAATGTTCTAAATATCGCTAGGCGCTCGACCAGCGCCTAGGCGCTCTAGGGCCTAGGCGGCGCCTAGTCGGGGCCTAGAAATCAATATTAAATACTTTATTTTTCATTTATTTTAACTACCTACAAAATAAACTATCTCAACTTATAATAAATTTAAATCCACACACCTAAGTCCAAATAATAATATTAATATATATTAAAGAAAACATGAAAACAAAATAATGTAATTCGTATTTAAAAAAAAAATATAAAAAGAAAGTGAAAAATTGCCGCCGAGACTGCCTAGGAGCGCCTAGGGCCGCCTAGCCGATTTGTGCAAATCGGAGACGCCCGGGCACAGCCTAGCGCCTAGGTGCCGCCTAGGCGGCCGCCTAGGCCGATTTTTAGAACAATGTCTGCAACTATTGAAAATTTTCAAGTTCTTCTTGTCACAGGTGGTGATATGACACTTTTAAGTGTGGACTTATTGAAACTTTTCTATCAAAACATGTAAAGAAACATTTTTTATTATTATTTTTTTTTATCATCATGTTTGTTGAAGAAGGGTAAAAAATATGTTAAGATCAAATTAGAGGTGCACATCGCTAAGAAACTCAAGCATTTTTCATATGGTTCGTGCTGTCTGAGCTCTTTTTTTCGGTTTTTTAATCTACCTTGTATTTATTTCAACCCTAGTCTTATCCTCTAGTCGTCATCCCATCATAGAATTGCTCCTCAGTTGTTTATTTTCTTTTCTTCTCTTTTTCCCCCAAGTAAGCTAAATGCCCCTATACATTATTTTTTTGGTTCGTAAGATCACAATATAAAACGACATTGGTTTTAACTCCTCCATGTTTTATCATTTGCAGCTAATTATGACGGAGATCGGTTTATAACTATTCAAGATGGTGTGTGGAAAGTAAGATATCAATTACTCTTGGCTACTTATAGCAAAATCTAACGTCTACCTGCTTTAATAATAATAATAATAAAAAAAAAAAAATCAAATTGTTTATTAAGTTTGTATCTGACAGAACTCAAAACATTTTGCGCAGGCAACACCTTTGCTTCTTACAGTAGCAGTTATTGAACTCAGCGACATTGCATTTGCCGTGGGTTTTTTTTTTTTCATCACCATAATTGACATTTTTTAAAATGTATAAGTTTGATTGTGAATTCATTTTTCTTCCTCGTCAGGTGGATTCCGTACCGGCAGTTTTTGGTGTCTGTCGGGATCCTTTCATAGTATTTTCATCTAATCTCTTTGCCATTTTAGGTGAATCCTCGTTCTTTATCCTTTTTATTCTTTTTTTTTTTAGACCTTCCACAATAGTTTTCATGTTAGTGTCATAACCGACGATGATATAAATTCCCATGAATGTACGGTTTTACCTAAGTGGATTTATAAATTAGGTGTTGGTGTTTTATGTTGCTAAATCATGCAGTATGCCGACAGTTTAGATGAAAACATTGTAATGCTTTGATTTATCTTTTATTTTTATTTTTTTCCCATTTTGTTCTCTCTACAGTTGCATGTATCTATTGACGAGAATTCGGCAGCACTCATGCGTGGCTTTTTGGTATTGTAGGTTTAAGATCATATTACACGCTAATTTCGGAAAGCATGGCAGATTTGGAGTATTTGCAAGTGAGTTTTTCTTGCTAAGTTTGAACTTACTGTGCATAAAAGGCGCCAACAATTCAATTCGAGTGGTCTAGTAAGCATTAGTTGTTACATGGTCCATATCAGTCGAATTATTAATAAGGCTGGCTAAATTGCAAGTTTGGTCTTATTATAAGTCATGAAGGTAGCAATTTAGGTCAAAAAGACTGAATTGCAGCAAAATTTTAAATTGCATGACTTAAATTGCTAATCAAAATCCATCTCAAACATACAAAATTGAGAATTTTGACTGCCAAAGGACTGAAATTGCAGGACTTAAAATGCTATATGTCACTTCCTTCATAGGACCAAATTTACTATCTAGCCTATTAAGAGCTACTCGAGCGTGATTGAGGTTTTTCATGAGATTTTTTATAAAATCTGCTTAGGGCTTTAATTGGATTGCTATACTCGTCTACTGATGTAATCCTCCATTTCTGTTTGTAGCCGGCCATTGGGATTGTTCTGGGATTTATAGGGTGTAAGATGATACTCGATTTCTTCGGTAAGTGGTGCTGGTTGAAATATAATCTCCACTTGCTCATAGCCTAACGATTAGACAATCAGTCGTACTTTCTCAATGGATATGCATGTTTTCAAACTGAAATATCTTACTCTAGAAAACACAATAGAAACAAAAGTATGTTATTTCATAGTGCAATTACGCATTATGTTAAAAGAAGTATGAAGGGTCGACCCGCCTAACGGTTAGACCGAAGTATGTTGTATTAACATTTACATGTTGTGCAGGTTTCCATGTATCAACTGAGGTTTCACTTGGATTGGTAGCAACTTCTCTCATAAGTGGGGTGTTGTTGAGTTTAGTGAAAAAGACTGACTGACTGACTCTCTCTCTCTCTCTCTCTCTCTCTCTCTCTCTCTCTCTCTCTCTCTCTCTCTCTCTCTCTCTCTCTCTCTCTCCATGTTTGGTTAAGCTTAATCCTTATGGATAACCTAATTGGAGATTCCTTTGTTGTTATCATGTTCCTTAAAGGATTGATTGAGCTTTGGTTCCACTCTGTTAATTCTGTAGAGATAGAATGTGTGTTAATTGTGTTGGGATTGTTGCACCCTAAAATTACAGATCACTAGGCTCCCAAAAAAGTGTGGCCCAAATGCAAACCAAAACCCAAAAAGAATAGAGAACCAGGACCAAGATGCAATGTCCACCCCGCGGACGGCCTAGACGCATGGAATTAGGGTTGTTGATTACCCTCGGAAGCTTGCCGAGGAAGGTTGGTATCGTCTGAATCAAAACTGGCAAAGTTGATGTCACTGCCCAATTTATCCCATCAATGGCGCCACTTTACGCCTCTAATTGACGTCTAGCATTTAATGCACTATCACTTTTTTTTTTCGTGTATAAATGCCGACCCTCGGGTCCCAAACAAACATAATCAAGAATCCGAGAACAAGAAACACCATACTACTACCACGTAACAGTTAGACAACTTTACACAAGAATTTGTAACAGTTAGACAACTTTACACAAGAATTTATATTTACGAGGATTTAGGATCAAATGGTTTTAAGTTGATCGTTGACCAAAGAGCTCAATTATCAACCTCCAAATCGATGTTTTATAGGAAGATACACGCCCTGAAATTATATAATGTAATGCCACCACTCGGGCCACTTGAAATACAAAATAAATAGCTTATAGTAGTTTAAAAATGTAAATCATTTCAACACAAAAATTCAAACCCATAACATTAATCACATCTTCAAAAGTTCAGCTCCGATCACCGGCGACCATGGCCACCGAGTAAGCTCCGATCAATGTCCGCCTGAATTTTATTTTCCCGTTTTTCTCTTACGCCATTTATTTTTCGCATGTTCGGTTCGTATATAATTTATTAAGATTTGGATATGTTCAATAGCCATCAAGAAGTTCTTTCTCCTACCTTGGATTCAACTTCTGACCCACCATCAATCTTTGATGGCACCATTAGGTATTTGTTTTACTATGTTTATGCATAATTTGTGCAAAAATTGGAGCTAATTACTGCAAGATTTGTTTGTGATTAATTATGTGTAGTTTTTTGTTTTGTTTGAAGGTTGTATGTGAATTATGAGTGCCCCTTTTGCCAGCGTGTGTGGATTGTTAGGAACTTTAAGGTTGTATCTCTATTTCCCTCCCCCTTTATATAGTTCATAAATTTTTGCGTGAGGCGGATTAGCGTTAGGCGAGTTGACTCGTCATACTATTTTAACAAAGAATGGGTACTTGTGCCATGAATTTCATAATTTTGTTTATGTTATGTTTGAAACACAGATTTTTATATAAGACTGCCTAACTATTATGCGGGGAGACCAGTTACAAATTTTAAAAAATAAAGGCATACTTATTTTATGATGTCATGCTTTTGTTTATGTTTTTCGATAGAGTATGTGATTAGGGAAAGTGTACGAGTGAGAAAGATAAACGAGATACTATCTCGTAAAACTCACAAAACTCAACAATATCTTATTTCATTTAAAATCAACCATTGAATAACCAAGAAGAGGGGTCTTTAAATAAGACACCTAAAACCTTAAAAGCTATCTTGTCCACCAAGCCACTAAATATTTAAATACTAAAAATTAATAATAATAATAATAATAATAATAATAATAATAATAATAATAATAATAATAATAATAATAATAATAATAATAATAATAATAATAATAATAATCTAGTCTACACCATTCTCACCCGGTTCGGAAGGCTTCACCCTCGAAGCAAATGCGTTCACGTGGCTGGTGTGTGAAGGCGAACCCATGATATTAATCCCCATCGTTTCCCCCTGTCGAACACGAAGGTTGAACGACACTGTGATCTACCTTGACTAGCCACAAAATCCTCGGCTGCTCGAATGGAACTTTTCCGCTCTTCAACTTGAGGTACCCGACCAACCCAAACAAATACTACGGAATCCCAATCCAATAAATAGCATTTTTTGTTTCTGAGAAGTGAGTTGGAAAGTTCACCATCGTCAACAATGACAACATCACACTTTCCGTCTGGAAACTGCCTCAACATATATAACCGCGTATCAAACTTGTCTTCTGCAGGTGTCTGAAATCCAGATGCAACACCACCTTCAATGGCTATGAAACATGGTTTAAAAGATGACAAAATTTGCCAGACTCGTGCCCTTGGAAATCTCCATACTACACAGTTTCAATAGTTTTGATAGCAGCAGATCCCGCTTCATCCTCCGATCCCAGAGGTTCCTCATCGAAAATCAGTGGACCATCGTACAATGGACCGTCATCTTGCTCTCCGCCGAAGTAGGGGATGTCAATGCGAAATGGGCCCTCCCATCGACTATATTCGCGATCAAATTCTCAATCGCGTCGGGCACGATATCTGCCCGTGAAGGCAGCCTACTCGCTCCTGCCTTTGTCGTTGCGTTGATCGTCACCGTCCACGAAGACCGTGCCACATCGCCACATGTCACGGCCGCCGTATGCAGCGAAAGGGTCAGCCTCGACATGCAAAGGTTGCCACTCGCCGCCGTCTTCGTCACCGGGCGGTGGTTGTGGAGATCTCCAGCGGGGCGTCCCGCCTGGACCACAACCTCCGTGAACTCCCCCGCAAACGCCCAGGTTGTCGGCGTCACGGTTCGTCTGCAAATCCTCAACCACGTTGTTGATCGTAAGACGCACTTCTTCGATCCCCGTTGAAAGATCCTCAACCCGACGATCCAATTGATTGATCTGGCGACCGAAGCCCGTGGTTTTTCGATCCGGATACTCAATGGTGGCGTCACGCCCGTCGATGTCGTCCTTCCGTGGCGGCATCTTGAATCGTGCTGACTTCTGATACCAACTGATGTAGGGATAGCGTACGAGTGGGAAAGATAAACGAGATACTATCTCGTAAAACTCACAAAACTCAACGACATCTTATTTCATTCAAAATCAACCACTGAATAACCAAGAAGGGGGTCTTTAAATAAGACACCCAAAACCCTAAAAGCTATCTTGTCCACCAAGCCACTAAATATTTAAATACTAAATAATAATAATAATAATAATAATAAAAATCTAGCCTACACCAGTATGTCATTTCAGTTTGAAAATATACATATCTATCGAAAAAATATATCTGTCTAACCGTTAGGCCTGCCTAATAACTGCATTACTATTTTTTTTATAAATTCTTGTGGGAAACTCTGTAAGTCAATCCGACATACTTTTTTATTTATTTTTTTTCTTTTCTTTTTATTACTTTTTTTGCAAAGATGCATACTTATTCTTCGAAATGTTTTTATATTGTTTTCGAGAGATGACATTTCGATTTGAAAGCATACATATATATTTCTATAAGTCTTGAAACATTAGAAAAACTGATTATTTGTCACTGATTTATTTCTATAAATATGCATGGCTAATGGCTTATGTGCCTTCTTCTTAGGGCTTTGTCATTATTGGAGCCAATTTCCTCTTGTTACTTTTTCTCAGGGCTTACAAAACAAGATCAAATTGGTGTCCATTCATCTTCAAGACAAGCCTTCATAGTTCAAGGAAAAACTATATCCTGACAACAAGGTATATATTAGTATCCTTAAAAAGCATAAAAATTGTTCAAATTCCATTGCATTATTTACATCAATTTTCAGTCACTCAATCTTTCTTTATTTTTTATCGGTTATGTAGGTTCCGGCGTTAGAGCATAACGGGAAAGTCATCGGAGAAAGCTTGGATTTGATCATATACTTAGATGTCAACTTTGAAGGACCATCACTTTCACCTAATGTAAGAGACTAAGAGTGCAGTATTTTAATTCTACTTGTTAGTATTAAGAGGAACTGTTGTAATTAATTAACTTGTGTACAAGAAAAAAAAAAATACTGTAGGATCCCGAAAAACTGAATTTTTCTCAAGAGTTAATGGCTCGGTTGGACTCATTCACAAAAAACGTGTTTTCATCGTTCAAAGGAGACACTGTTAAGCAATCTGGTAATGCATTCTTTCATAACTTTGTTACACAACAAAATTAAAGCTATGAAATAAAGAATTCGACCCGTTTTCTTGTTTTTTTTCAATATCAGGTGGTGAATTCGATTACTTGGAGACATCACTTGAGAAATTTGATGACGGACCATTTTTTCTCGGACAGTTTAGCCAAGTACGTGACATATCGGGTCATTTTTTTTTCGCATCTCGACATAAAAATCGAATCTTGATGGGATTTTTTGTATCTCTTTACTTTTTTTGTTCTTACACAGAGTGTATTTTGTTCTGGCCTTGGTTTTGTTCAGGTGGATGCTGCTTATGTTCCGTTTATCGAAAGGTTTCAAATCTTTCTTCAAGAAGAGTTTAGTTACGAGATAACATCCGGCCGGCCAAAGCTTGCGGCATATTTGGAGGTTTGTTCTTAAGTTCAATACGAACGTTCGTTTGGACTGATAAGGATAATGTTGTTGTTAGGACTGCAAACGAACCGAGCAGCTCGCGAGCGCCCGAGTCAAAGTTCGGCTCGAGCTCGTGTTTGACCGAACTCAAGCCGAGCTCAAGCATGTTATCGAGTGGATCTCGAGCATAGGTTTTGGAAGGTCAAGCGGCTCAAGATATATAATGAATTACTAAAATACCCGTTATATATAGATCTTACAGTATCTTATACATGTACTTAATGGTAAATTTACATGAAATTCGAGTCGAACTTGAGCTAAGCTCGAGCAATCTGTCGAGCATTTTGATTTTAATCAATCTCGAGCCGAGCTCGAGCGATTTTCTTTTGTTGTCGAGTCGATCTCGAGCATTATAATCAAGCTCGAGCACGAGCACGTATAAAAGAAAATTCAATCTTGCTCGATAAGGCTAATGTTCGGCTTGTTGCAACCCTAGTTGCTGCTAAAGCTTGATGAAAGTTAACCGAGTATGTTGTGTTTTTTTTTTTTTATGTTTTTTTTTGGTACATAACCTTTTAAGGAAAGCTCACATATGAAGCTGCCCATTCTGTGCATTTTTGCTTTTGCAGGAGATGAACAAGATTGATGCTTACAAGCAAACGAAATGTGATCCGAAATGGCTCGTCCGGTTTTACAAAGCTCGTCTAGCGGTAATTTTCTCTTTAACATTTCACGACTAACCAACTGTAAAATCAAGTTGCTCGACTGTAAAGCTTTATTCTCCTCTTTTGCAGGCATTGGGTTAGGATTTCCGGTTGATTTGCTGCTGATGAACGACAAAGTTTGATTTTTTGATCTTCTTAATTCCAGTCTCTAAGTTGAATAAATAAGCATCAGTGTTGTTTTTGTTTCTGATGAGTTATGACACTAGTTATGTGTGTAGTCTTGATGACACAATACAGTGAATTCCAATCTGATTGAGTAAAATTAAATTTGTATTGATTTGAATGTTTATTTTATATAAATGAAATTTTTTAAATTATTTTGCATATTATTCTTTGATTGCATATAATGTCATATAGATGCATTTGTAACTTTTTAAGAACTTATTACTAATTTCCTGTGCAATTAGACTTAAATCAGGTGCAATTTTTGTAATTTTTCAAGAATTATCACAAAAGCTAAACACTGCCACTTTTACAATATTCTTCAAACTCAGAACCTGCAGAGTAAATTTTGAATCATACATTCAGAGCGCGATGCATTTTTATTACTTTGCTAATGGAGGCAATGGACAGAACAGACATATTATTAAAAAAAAAAAAATATGGTCAATTTTCATACACATATTTGGAATGAATGTCGAGTGCGAGTCGTACCATCCGTAACGACTCTTGAACGTTCGCGTGTCGACTTAAAAACTTTCGAACGAAATACATATCTAAACAACAGCAAAAAAAATCGGAAGAGAATAATGGAAAAAAAAGCCTCTTACTCGAAGCTTGTTCCGTAATCTTTTTTGTTTTTTTTTTCATTTTTTCTTGATCACAATTTTTTGTTCTTCGTTCGCGCTCGGGAAGTCTCGGGATTTGCAGCCTCGGTTGACATTGCATGGTTGTGTCTTCCCTCGTACGTTGTTATGAAGTTAGCTGGCTCGTCTGTTATCCTCTCCACGTATTTCTTCACGTTGCACTTAGGAATCGTGCATCGGTAATAGCTCCTTCACGAAAAAACCGAGCGAAAATTTTTCACCAATGTTATTTTAGTTCAAGAAAGAATGTAAAAAAGTTCCGAAAATAGTACTTATAAAGCAAATATTTATCGCATTCTTGCCGAAACTCGAATACCAACAATAATGATGACATTTTTTTTCGAACCTCGGGTACATATTCCCCTTCACCACTTTTTGGCCGTATTTTCTCCACCGAAACCCGTCTCGTATTGTCTCACATTCGCTATTAATGTTGCGAACAAAAGTCGTGGGCTCGGACGAGTTGCCTCCTTCATTCATGCAGCTATCTTTCATTATATCATTAACTCGTCTCCTAAAAAAAATACAAGAACTCGGAAGCTCGTCACTTATCTCAATAATACCTATTAGGGGAAAGTAAAAAAAGTATAAAATAAAACGCGCAAAACTTACATTCTTTTACTCTTGACGACCTCACGACATTCGGCCTCCAAAGACTCACACTCATCAACACTCACACTCACACCCATTGAGCTATTAGAAGTCCCGACACTTGAATTATTATTATTATTGCACGTCGTGTCTTCAAAAGGGTCATCATTATTAATAACAGGAAAATTCATCGGTTGGCCAAGTGATTCATTAGGAAAAGAAGAAGGATTAATTTCGACCTCATCACGAGGGTTCGACGAGTGGTTGTGATCGCCTTTGTAAACTACCTCTGAAATTCGGCCGTCGGGCGTTTTCTCCACTTTTTTCTTGACTGGACAATTTGGGTGCGTGCATTTGTAGTAGCTTCGTGGGTATTCGCTACCTTTGACCTGTTTTTGACCATATTTTCGCCAGTTGTGGCCGTCTTGAGAAAACCGGTTAGTGTTGCTTTTAGCGAGAAATTTGGTTTCGCTTTCGGGATTTTGTTGTAATATGGCATTTGCATTTTGCTCCGGCTGCAGGGGAAGGTCAAGTGATGGTGTCTGGTTATTTTGGTGCTTGGCATTTTGCGGCGGTTGAAATTGAGTGTAAACGTCGACAGTTGCTCGTGTAGGGATAATACCACTCTCTCCCTATAAAAAATAAAAAAATAAAAATAAGCGATTGTCGGCTTTTCACTTTATACGAGGGTACTCAGCTGTTAAATTAAACGAGCAGCTAGTTAGCTCTGCTCGGCTCGGCTCGTCTCGTTTGATAAACGAGCCCAGCTCGAGCTCATTTAAAGCTCATTCAGTTAACGAGCCGAACTCGGCTTGGCTCGATAAGGCTTGAAAAGATGATTTTTATGTATTTTTCTATAGTTCGACTCGATTTTGGCTCGTTAAGGCTCGAACTCAGCTCATTAATATTGGTAGACGAGCCGAGCTCGAGCTTGATTACAAGCTCGTTAAGAGCTCGAGCTCAGCTTGGCTCGTTTACACATCTAGAAGGTAGTGCGTTTAGATTTCGAATTACGGTTATTCTACGTTTACGCACAATAAAGTGGCAAAAAATTACTCTTGTTCAAGTTGTTCGAGTTATAGCTTCGATTTGCAAATACAGTCAAGATCCTCGACTACATTTCGTTCCTACTCACACAATAAATCACTTCCTACACAAGTAATATCGAGAGGACTCTGCATTTAAAGAAAATCATTCAATACACGATAAACGTTAGGAACAAAAGAAGCTTTTAATTTCGTAATATATACGAACACTGTAAATTACTAACCAAGTTCGCCAAGAGAGCAACAGTCTTCTTCGAAACAAGCTTAGCTATCGGCTTGTACACCACATTTTCACCGCATTTCGATTTCGGGACCTCTTTAGATGGATCCGATGCTACTGCAGAACCGAACGGCTCGGCCTATAACAACAAAAGCAACATACCAAGCGAAAATTCAACGAATATGGCAAAACAAAGTGGCCCTTTTGGGGGGAAAATGAAAGAAAAGGAATTGCTACTTTTCTTTACCTCGGCCAAACTAGAGTTGCACGTTGGCCTAGACCGAACGGTCCTTGGCCGAACGACAGTAACCGGAGGCTCGGCAAGAGCAGCCGGTGAAGAAGGATTATCGGCACCCGGAATAACTTCAGAGAAGGGTAATTTATTGAAATTTGAAAATCTTGGCCTAGTTGCAACTGGTTTAGCAATCACAATTTTGTCATTCTCTTTGATTTCCATCATAATTTTTTGAGATTCTACTCCTGAAAAAAGAAGGAAAATCAAATAAAAAAATCATATGCTGGAATTTCAACCATTTTATATTGTTTTGCTAAATTTTCTACCAAAGAACACTCACAGAAGCACTAAAATGAAATTAAATTAAAATCAATTTGGTAGTAAAAATTTAAATCAGAGTGACAACAAGTGATGGATCTAATAACAGGGGAATTCAAAATGAAAACAAGATATAGGGTTAGCTCAAAAAAACAACAAGAATCAAGACTGATATTTCCTCATCACCAAACTTAAAAAAAAATATAAATAAATAAATAAAACTAAAAAAATAATGATGATAATTATAACAAGAAAAATAAAAAAGCAAACATTTTTCAAGATTAATTGCACCCAATTTCTCATCTGAAGAAACCCATCAGCACTTTGCTTAGAAAATCACAGTTTCCATTTTTTGTATTTCTTTTAATAAAATGGGCAATTTCAAGAATTTAATATATAGGCACAAAAGGTATCAAGAACAGAACTTTTTCCCATTTTATGCCCTTACCTCCTTAATGGGGGTTAAAATCATAAACCCCATTAGCCAAATCTGTAAACAGGAGCCCAGAAAAGAAAAAAAAGAC